ACCACAAAAATGACTACTACTCCGTAAACAACACTTGGAGTTTAAGCATGTGTTTGGATGGGGGATTTTGGAAGGAAAGAAAAGTGGAGGAAGGAAAACACAAGTTTTTAGATCTTTTCTCTTGTTTGTTTGCAATAGAAAATGGGGAGAGGAAAGAAAAAGAGTGGAAAAAAGCCTTAAAAAATTTTCTCTACACTTTTGAAGAGAAAACTCACACATGGAGAGAAAATGCATAAAATGACATGTTTGCCCTTTGCCTCTTTTCTAATTTACGAAGTACACTTTTTTTCTTTAACTTTTTTGTTGCTTTATGATAAGAGCATTAATGTCTTTTGGCTTAATCATGTTTTCTTTCCTCTTCTCATTTTCTCTTCTTTTTTACCTATCCAAACAACAATTATTTTCTTTTCATTTTCTCTCTCATTTCTTTCCTCTCATTTTCTTTCATTTCATTTTCTTTCCTCTCATTTTCCTTTCACATCCAAACAAAGCCTAAAACAGAAAGAGGAAAGTAAAAAAAAATTTAAAAAAACGTGACCCATTCAAGCAAATCAATTTGTGCTTTACCCTTTTTCCTTTCAAAAAAAAATTTGTGCTTTACCCTTTTAATACCACTGCGCCCCAAGCTCCCCGCCAAAGAATTTTCACTTTCAAATTGTTTGCTTTTCCCTCTACATTGTTCATTCATTTTAAGGAGTGGCAAACTAATAGGAGTACTCAAATTACCTTTGGAGCTATTCGTGCCGACACTTTCACACCATAGCAACCTACACGATAGGTTCACCGGTTATATGCTTTAAAAGGACAAACGACCGCCAGCATGAAGTCGTTCATATTTTCGTTTAAATCTTCTATTCTGATATACTTGCTGCGTCTTGACCGGTCAACTGCTGTGGATCTGGATTCAGACTGGGTCCTAGGTGGAGTACACCCATCAAAGAAAATAGATAAATTGAGAGAGATTAGATTGGACATATTGAAGTGGAATATGGGTTGAATTTATAGGGTTAAGAGAAAAGTATAAAAAAAGTTCCCGGCGCGGTGCGACAAAGCACCTGCAATGGGGCAGTTGGAGCGAGCGCCGTGGCGCTGCGGACTGGGGTCGCTGCAAATGCCCTTTTGGGCTCTCTCTAAGGGGTCCGTCACAATTCTATACTTTTCTCAATTCGTTACATAAACATGTTCTTTCTATCCTTTTTCATTGGTGAAAAAAAATTCAATTTCATTTTTAAGAAAAAAATATGAAGCTCAAAAAAATTCTCTCTCCTCATATCAAGTGTTACCACAATTTCTTCAATTTTCAAAACTTTTTAAAATTTCATGAATGTCAAACCCGGAACATCTTAATGAGACGAAAAAAGTATATACGAGCCTCGTCAAATAGTTGTGGAGGCTTTGTAACTCTTGAATTGAGATGTTGCTATACATGATTAATAGTATTGTGCTTATTCATAAGCTGAAACTTAATTTTTATCATCTAAGATTTTTGCTCATTTTTAAAAAATAATTATTTTTAATTTCTTATTTAATTTAATTAGTTTATCTACCATAATAAGTGCGTCTTCCGACCTAAAAGTAACTTACCATTCATTATTCACAAGATCTTTTGATATACTCTCTCCGTCCGGAATTATTCTTCTCATTTGACTTTTTTTGTCAAAGTTTGTAAACTTTGGCTCAAATATATAAAAAATACATTGTATTATGATATAATTTTAATATCAATATATTCCTATTGAAACATAGTTTTCAAATATCAATTTTTTATAAAATATATCTATGTATAAATAAAGATATTACTATATTAGTGGTCAAAGTACAATCTTGGAGACAGTGAAAAATCAAACATTTCCGTACAGAGGGAGTAGTCCTTTAATATATGCTCTCTCCGTCCCAAAAGAAGACTCTTGATTTGACTTGACACAAAATTTAAAGAAACTGAGAATGTGAAGTTGAATATAGTGCAGATTTGTGAGAAAAATTATGAGTCACTCAGAGTTTTCTAAAATAGGAAAGAAAAATCTTCTTTCCAGACATTCCAAGAAAGAAATAAGTTGTCCTTTTTTGAAAGGAGTTCTTCTTTGGTGCACCTTGGATACATATCATTTTTGTGCGCCTTCTCACATAAAAGAATCTTTTATTTATTTTTTATTTAAAAAACAAATACTTATTTAAATAGTAAAAAATGCTTATTTTGCCCATATATATGTCCATGGTAGATGAAAGTGAGAAAGTGAGTCACTCAATTTATATATGCCTATATAAATTTGCCTTTTGAAAGTGAGAAAATGAGAATGTGTTGTTGAATATAATGCCGAGGAGTGTGAAAAACTGTGAGTCACTCAAAGTTTTTTAAAATAAGAAAGAGAAAGCTTCTTTTTAGACATTCCAAAAAGGAAATAAGCAGTCCTTTTTTTAAACGAATGAAGTATTTTGTTTCAATTTCACACCAATTTTATAATAAATTGAATTGAAAATAAATTAAATTAAATATCGTAAAATGTAACGAGAAGTTTGTTTTAGGACCGAGGGAGTAGTAAATTCAATTGTTTTAAAACATATGCACTCTCTGTTTCACAAAATGTTTAATTCTCCTTTCATTTTTTTCTCTACCTACAAACCATTTCAGTTTTAAATTACACAATTATTATTACCCATAGTAATTATTATCCTACATGTCGCGTCATCTTTATTCGCTATTAATCTACTCATTATATCTTAGTTTTACGTATCACATTCAAAAGCAAAATTGAAAAGGTCAACTACAAAATATCTCATTTGTGTTAAAATTAACTTCTCACTTGGCTTTTCACTGTCTCCAATGCAATACTTTGACTAATCATATCTCTATCTATGTATAAAAGTATTTTATAAAAATAATATATTTCAAAATTATTTTTCAAAATAAATATATTGATATTAAATGTATATGAAAGTTCAATGTAGTTTTTCCATAATATGTGGTCAACGTTCAAAAGGTTTGACCACAAAAGTCAAACTGAAAAGTGAATATTAGGATGTTTGGAGTAAATTTTTCTTAAATTTGCCAAAAGTCAAAACATGAACTGTTTTTTTAAAACAGAGAAAGTGTATATAAAACATACCATATTATAACTAAATTAAAATAAGCATATTTATATTGCTTAAATAAAATATATTTTTCTAAAAGTAATAACAATTTGAGACTATAAGGGGGTGTTTGTTTTTTGGCCAGAAGAGCTTCTGGCCTCTTTTGTCTGCGCCGCGCAGACGCGCGCAGATTCTGAGCTCTGCAGATTGTTTGTTTTTTGAAAGACATTCCACTCAAAAGGTCTCCCTGACATCTTCTTGGAGAAGACATTAACCTATGTCTTCTAACATCTTCTCCATTTTTTTCTTCTACTTCTCTTCACCACCACCACCGTCCACTACCATCACCACCGTCCACCATCACCGCCACCGTCGTCCAC